ATTCAATTAGTGAATAAAAGGATTTTGAAGAAGAATTTTATGATTTTCATTCGATAAAAGTATTTATCACAAATATAGTGAAATAGCGTTTAGGGTTGATTTTGAGGAAACTTTATGGCCGAAAGCTTTCAAGAAACGTGCGAAGTGTCCGAGAAATGAAGTTTTCCTGCTGAAAGAAATATTTCATGTTGTTATGTGGTGAGACTGCAACGTGCCAAGAGTACGTTTTTGTGTATGGCGAAGGCGAGACTCGAGTGGACAGTAAACATTTGAGAAAGGAAAGGGTGCGACAGAATAGTCAGAAATAAACAGAAAGGAGAGTTTGAAACATAAAGAGAGGAATTTGAAACTTAATAACTTTGTGGGCATAAAAACATCAGGTTTTTTTGTTATTTATGAATTTATAGATATATTAAATCTATAAATTCGAACACCTTATATAACCATATTTTTTCAGCTAATTGTTTCATTTAAATATTATTTATGTTACTATGTAAAATCATTAAACAAAACTCCAGAGTTAGCAAAAGAATGAAAAAAACATTATTTTCTAAAATATTGTGGAGAATCGTAAAGTCAGTGTATCATGGTATAATATAACAGATTATTTAGTAAAATAATTTCAAATTTCTTTTGTACTATATAGATATTATAATATTAACTAGTAAATTTTGTTGCCTTTCTAGACTAAATTTAATGACAATATTAAATATATCAAATAAAGATACATAAAATTATAATTGTCGATCTTCTTCAACCATTTTCTGTTATTTTTCAATGCATTTATTTATCTGTAATATTTAATCGTTTGAACAAACATCTTATTAGGAAAAAACAAAAAGACTTTCTAGCTAAGTTAATTATATAATTGAGTTCCTGTTACAGTAACTCCAAATTGTTTTCTCTACTGGTAATCGTATTGTGTGCAGAAATATTTATCGAAGTTTATAACTATATAAAATTCCAATAAATATATAACAAACTTAGTACTGTTATGTTGTAGTAGATAAACCATGAAAACTAAGGAAAAATTTACGTCGCCTCTATGAAATCGAGCTGCGTTCAACATATAACCCGAACTCGGGGGCAGTTGAGGGAATTTCTCGACCATAAACACGCCACAGGAATGCGTAACACGGATGGTCAGAAATACCAGCATGTGATCAGTTTCTGTCACAAAGCAACAACAAGCTGAATAAATGAAATTCTATCGAATTATTAGTACCATCCACACGTGGCGAAAGGAATAATAGAATTAGTTTAGATAAACCAATATTTGTTAATTAACAAGTTTAGTTAAACTGACCATTTAATCTTGTGGAATATGATATTTAATAACAATGTAATTACACTGATACGTATTTGATTGATAGAAGATAATGTCGGTTTTGTGGTTCAAAATTCCATTGCCTTGCGAAAACTGTTATTAATTTACCACGAATCTGGTGCAAAACATTTAAAACTGATATAATTACTATTCTTTTAATACATAACACCAACATTTCATTCTTTGTTATTAAAATAATTAGGTTTAACCTACAAATGTTTATTAAACTGTTAGAGGAAAAAGTGATAAAATACTGAAAATAATAAATTAAATAATATAAATGAACATTATTATAAGTAGAAATAATTAGTAATGATTAGAAAAGTGAATTATATAACGTAAAGGTACTTGTAAAGAATGTTCTCTTTCAATTTAATAAAATATGGAGCTTAACACATAAAGAAATAATTACATATTTACGTATCACAGTTATGACTTATTTTTTAACGTAAGTACTTGGTGTATAAAGTAGTTGATACTTTTTACAAAAGATAATCTACTGTGTCACTTACAATTTATAAATAATCCGTATATGCGTATATATATTTCAGTTTATTGTAAGGTAGTCACATGAGCAGTAAAGTCATTAGCGGCCACCAACATTTGGATACATTACTTGTTACTTAATAATACTTAATACATAATGACTTATTATAGAATAATATATTAGTTATATGAATAATAATACAGGATTTTCGGAATAGACATATCTTGATTATAATGGATTTAGAAGGTTATTTAGGATTTGACGGATTAATACAATTGGCACACAAGAATAAATAATAATAATACGATAAATAGGAGGGAAATTATGAATCCTCCAGGAGGAATAATGCAATGAATGGAAGAAGAGTGGAACAAGGTCGTGATGAAACGAGGTCACACGGACATCGACGAGTAAGGACTGCATTTAGTGGGACAGGTCAGGACACGACCATGGTTGGAATAACAGTCGCGATTTTATGTTTTCCCTTCTCCTTCGCTACTATAGGAATGGTAATCCCCGAACTGGGAATGGTTTCAATTGTCAAGGAAGATTCGCGTTGGAAAAATAGCTTTAAACGTGCGTCGTAAAAGAACATCACATCTGAATGTGTTTTTCTTTAGACTAACCCATAAAAGTTATAAGGAAAACACGTTGACGTTGTCGTTGTTTATTTAAAGAATATTTAAGGTAAAATTGCGGATATTTAAATTGTATCTAAATTATGTAAAGATCTTCCTTAATTTCTAAAAGTTATTATAGGTAAAATTTCATACCATGCAAACTTTGTCTTAATATCATTATAATAGTTTGATTATTAAACATATTCATTAACGCTCTTGGTTATAAACATAATAATAAGATTAACATGTTTTTTTCTTAGCAACAGTTTTTAAGGTGTTACCTTAAAGGTTAAAGATTATACCTTTACATAACGACATTTTTAAGCAATATTTTCTTAAAATTATTTCAACATAATACCTCAAATAACAGTAGAACATTCAAAAACATTTCTCTATTCTAACCAAATCCAAGTTCTAACCTGAAACAACCTTATAATCCATTCATATATGAAAACAAACAAGTCAAATCCCCCTCGTGTTGAATTAAAAGCAAGGAATTTTTTATTCCGCTGCGTTCAGTGCCTTCAAAACGAGTAACAGTTTCATTATTCAAATGGGGCGTCTAAAAGAAAAGGCCAAAGAACAAAGACAGCGTAAACAGACAGGTAAAATTATTGCCAATTTAAAATCTTCTACAAAGGTAAGCATGAGTGAAAGATACATTAACCTGGATCATGGATCGCGGTCCATTACCGTCTGCAAATTTCCTTAGAAGCCAGGTCCTCGCAGTTTCTATTATTTGCGAATTAAAGTATACCTTGAATTGCGAAGAATTTCCCGGGTTCTCGGCCACGGAAATTGCGCCTCCCCCTCCCGGCGCGTAACGAATAAACCGGTCTCCAATGGATCTCCCTCCGTCTTCATTTTTCTTGGTTGATTGCTTTGCGTCGGGTGGATGTCAAATCCGTCTAGTTATGGTTTCATTCTGCTGCAAAATTGATCGCTGTTGATCAATCCGTACGCGGTGCACTGTTTCTTTCGCGCAAGCTCGTTCTATTTCTTCTGCGGTCTATGATGTTTGTCACAGCTATGATGCCATTTGTTCAGTAGCAAATGACTTGCGACCAGAAGTTGAGAAGAGATATGTTATCGATTCTGGTTCTTGAAACATTTATGGAGAACCGAAACAAAGACATAACTGTTATTGGGTATATCGGTTCTGATTCTTTGGAACAGATTTCATATCGAATCTATATTGATTCTATAATGGTTATTTTTCAGTTACGAAAAAAATACAATACTAAAATATAGAACTGAAAAATAACTGTTATAAAAAACCGATATAGAACCGAAAAACAACAATTATAGAGAACCGATATAGAACCAGTATATCGATTCCGAAGAACAGGAATCGAAACTGATGTGCTTATGTAATAACAATTATGGCCTTATTTTAATAACTATCATTGTTTCAATTGGAACTGATATACACGCGACTTAAGGTAAAAATTGGTTAAACGCTGAATCTTCGATGGATACCATTTAGTCCACGTACTAACGACGGACCATAATATATTGTGGCGATAGATTACGCTACCCACTACGATACACGCGATGGGAAACCAAGATTGCGTGTAGCAGGATTGTTCTACTTGTCCCTACTTAATTTTCTTTCCGATAAGGTTTAATAGTAGGAAAAGCTGTACTTTTTCTTGTTTCGTCGGGTAAGTCAAATTTAGGTGTTAATCCAATCGTTTCGAATGCCTATTTATCTAAGATAACGTTTTTCAGAAAATATTTCGGATTGCACTTAAGGAAAAATGAGATATTCATAGATTTTCTTCTACCGAATACAAATATAAATGCTACTTTTCTCTGTTGTTCTCAATTTTTAAGAAATTTAATATTGGAAAGAAGTTAAGTTTCAAATATAAAAATTATTCATAGGTTAACTGAAAAAATTGTACAATAACTTTTTTGCCGAAAATCATACGTTATAATTTATAATAACTTATTTGTAAATAATAAATTGCAACATATCATTTGCAAGTAATTATTACATTAATTATAACTATTATGTTATATTAACTTATTTGTGATTACTTAGAAACATTTCAACATGTTTCAATAATCTTTAATGAGTAACCCACTATTGAACGTTTTTTGAATTTATTTTGTAAATTAAAATTGAATAATAAATTTTAATGAAACTGTACGATAGAATAAACCTTTTTTGCAAGAAATTCATCCAAGAAAGGGACAACAAAAAGCTTATTTTCGACCCAGAAGAAAAAATAATTCTGCAAGACACGTGCTACTGTCAGTGGTTTTCAGTGCTGACATTTTCCTTAATATTTCTTTCCGCACAATGCAATTATTGAATACAATGATATGCGTTTGCTTCTTGTCAAAATAATTTTACTTTCTCAGACAAAAATAAAATCTGCTTATGCAAATTTCTGAAACGGTTCCTGTATTAAATGGTCTACTCTATAATTAATAATTATGTTATTTAAAGGATACTTGTACTTCAAACAACTGAAAATGGCCATAGTGATGTTCAACGATCTGTGATAAATCGTGGAAATCTCAATAATGACATTTGGAAAATACGTTTGTGTTGCAGCAATTTTGGACTCACTATGCAAGCAATTTCTACCGATGAATGTGTCAGCCATCTTGTACCTGATGAACTACGAACAATATGGCCGGAGTACCGCCAGTGCTCAATACTTTCTACAGTTGGCCGGTTATCTTGGGATTCCGGTGATTGCTTGGAATGCTGATAACTCTGGATTAGAACGGGTAAGTTTATTTCCCAATTTTTATTTATGTAATATACATAAAATATGGAACATTCAATAATCAAGATTCAATGCTACTTGTAACAATGTTACAAAAGCAAAAAATTCAAATGATCTCTTTATCATAACTCTATTCACTGATAATAATTACAATTGACATGAGATTTAATATTATTTGTTGAAATCTCAGAATTGAAAGCAATTAGAAAATTTCATTTAAATTACAATAAATCTTAATCAGATTTTATACTACTATTATTTTTACATAATAAAGTAACGTTAAATAGAATTAAAATATAGATAAGAAGTTATTACTGTAAATTATTATGTATTATTGTGACAAATTCTAAATTTAAATTGCACAATTTAAACAATTTCTGCATCTCAATTATTATTAAGTACTGTACCAAAAATGAAAATGATTTTATCTATGCAATTTAAATAACTTTTTCTTCAATGACTATGCAAAAATTACTATATTTAATAATTTATTGTGATTACGCGAAAAGACGATAAGATTTAAGTAGAATATGCCTGCGGTACATGAGAGTACTTGCTTCAAATGTGCAACCATCGTAGTTTTAATTTCTCATTACTTCAATGAAATAAATCAATTCCGCTTCCCCGACGAAATCTTCGAAGAGTACGTTCTCATTTCTCGAACGTTTCTATTTATTCGAAGCAGAAGGTTGTTCAAATACCTCCGGTTCCATAGAATTTCAATTTAAATTTATCAGTTAAATTCCTCGGGCTGCTTTCAACCTTTAGCCGCGTCGCGACGCATCGTTCTAGAATCGAATGGTGGAGGTTAAATTGTTCCATGCCACCGTAGATTGTTGCTGGCTCGTTCTTTTTTCCCTTCATTCTTGCTATCCGGCAGTGTTGAGACAAATAGTCGGTGTAATTGCAATACGTCTGTCAACGAAATCCGTACACTCAGGTTCCTATGTTGCCGAAAACTTACTGCGACAGTTTGAATGTACTGCCATCTACGTACAATTCGTACGTACCACGATCGGAAATTACAGATTAATACTGAAAACTTGAACCCTATCGTCCTTGGATATGTATTTCTTTTTAATGAGAATTTTGTGAATTTAAGGAATTGGTTTAGTTAATTTATATCTTTTTCATATAATTATTCATTCTTTTTTTAATCAATAATATTTATAAGAGTGGGAGGAATTGAACCAATTAAAAAGATTCCTTTATCTAGGCGTTTTCTAGCTTTCTGGCAATTTAAAATATTCGTGGTACCTATGTGTACCTTTCAGGACGAAATGGTTAAATCATTTTTATATTTATTACTTTTCAATTTCTTGGGGTTAGATGGGTTAAAAATTGTCCTACCTTTTGTTTATCTTTGAATAGTGAAAAATTATTTAACTCACTTCGAAAACTTGAAATTACTTATAATATATAGTTTAATATTTTATATTTCTTAAATATATTTCTGTATCTTATATTTATGTGCAATTTGCTTTTTTTCTTTAACTCCTTGCTCTACAATTTCTTGTACAACTGTGTTTGGTAAAACTACTTTATCATAAATAATTTAGTAGAAAAAGAAAAGAATTTGATTCTTATTCTATGTCTACGTTTACTGTAAAGGTTAAAGATTGATAAAATAAACAAATATAATTCAAATTATTGAATTTGATTGATAATTTTCATCATGAGTCTGACACAATATTGTGGGAGAATATAGGAAACGTGTTCTTAAACACTTAACTACAGTGAATAACATTACTCGTAACTTCGTCAGAATTTATTTCGTTTTCCTTCAAATATTCAAATATTTCAAACACAAATAAAATTCTATTATTGATTCAACACTTTAGAGTGTGCAATTTTGATTTCAGTGATACGAAATTTTAACCAAACCAAAAAATCTGACAATTCCTTGCATAGAAAACAAAAGTCATTGGAACGGTCGTGACCTTAAAATTTTGATTTCAAAACATACAATTTTCTTTAAAAATCGTTCGAATTCCCACAAAACCAATGAAAATATTTGAAGTCCGATAAGACTCCCTTCGCGCTACGCTCAACATAACTACTTTCTCGTAAAAACAGTTTTTATTCGAAATTCTACGCAACAGATTTACAACGCGGATAATAAAGATGTCCCACGAAAATGTTGAAACAGCCACAAGTGAGATAAAATCATGTATATAGCGAGCTGGTATTACGGATGCTTTCAGAGAGCGTCGCAGAGTAACTTGCAGCTGCAGCTGGCGCCGTCGTTGGAGCACCAGACGGCCGCGATGCTCAGTATCCTCGAGAGATACAAATGGCATCAATTTAGCGTGGTCACCTCGCAGATAGCCGGCCACGACGACTTCGTGCAAGCGGTGCGCGAGAGAATCTCGGACATGCAGGACACCTTCAAGTTCACGATACTCAGTGCCACCCTGGTCACCGAGACGTCCGACCTCGACGAGTTGTCCAAGAGCGAGTCCCGAGTGATGCTGCTCTATTCGACCAGGGAAGAAGCAGGTCGCATCTTGCAGGCAGCCAAGGATCGCAAGATGACCGGCGAAAATTACGTCTGGGTAGTCACGCAAAGTGTCATCGAGAACTTGCCTACGTCCAGTCAGTTTCCGGTCGGGATGCTCGGTGAGTGAAGTCACCTGCGTTTCATGAAATTACAGGTAGCTATGAGACTGACATTTACAGTACAGCTTTCACGTTAGCTACTGCGACCTTTGGTCTAATCGTTTTGCCACGGCGCATAGTGCAGCTGCCAGTGGACAAAACCAGAAAATTCGATTATCCAGATAACAAAAATTGAAGGTTACTAATGTGTTGTTAAGTAGTCCCTGCTATACAAAATGATTTTCACTTCAAAAATGAAAATTTTATGAACAGAAATTCCCTTTCTCTATTTATATAACGTTGGAATCGAAACGCAAAATATCCATTGTCATTTTAAAAGCTTCATAATATCCATATGATTAGTTCCATACCTTACAACTTTTGTCTGAAGCATTTTTTTGTATCGCTCATACTTTTTAAGTTATTGAGCTTTGTCCACAAACGGTCGTTTGGGCGCACTGTGCTGCGACCTTATTTACGAATGTACTCTCAAAGTACGGGGCAGTTTCAACGCGGAGGTACTAGTTTTACGGCGACCTAACTGACATCACGATCGTAACTTTAATAGCTAGTATTGTAATTTATTAATTCCTTATTCTAGTTGTAGTACATATAATTATAAAACATATTACAATAATATATAATCAATGCGAAATTTTGAAGGGTGACTATAGTCATTGATAATACACAGCGAGTGTCAGGTGTCGGATGATTATAGTCACCGCTAGTAACGAAAGGGCTAAAAGTGTATAGGGGCAAGGGGATTCTTCTACTAACGATGCTAGGTCTACCTCGGCTTTTGATGCATGGTCATTATTGGCGCGTGACAATAATAAAGGACGGAAGCGAGACCGAATGCGATGGAGTGAAACGAAACTATAGAGAATTTCCTTTTCTATCGTTCCGTCTCACTTTATTGCATTCGGTCTCGCTTCCGTCCATTGTCATTGCCGCGCGCCAATAATGACCATGCGTCGAAAACCGAGGCGGCCCGAACATCGTGAGTAGAATAGTCCCCTTGTCCCTGCGTACTTTCAAATCTACGGTCGCGGAAGTTAACGTGAGAGCTGCACTGTACGTGAAGTATTAGCTCCGCGTGGATTCAATTGACGCAAATGGAAATCATGCAATTAGAGTCTGCTAGTACAACAGGAAATAAAATATTGGAAAAAAGCTGGTACACGTTTTAGAAATGGATATTAATTTTATGTAGTTTAATATGATGACCGCCATGATAGTCCCTGATGACCGGGGCTACTAAATTGCTTGAAAACAATTACAAAAGAACTAATGTGGAATCAAAGTATTCAGTTACACAAGGAATTAAATGGTACTTATGTATTATGCGGACCACCTGTTTCCTAACTGAAATTCGTGTTGATCAGTCATTTGGATTAGGTCTGTGTTAGTATTTATTTAATATTATAACACGTTATTAATATTTTATTTTTTAAAAATTCATATAATCCTTAGGCACCAATGAAATAATTGTACTACTTAAAAGCTATGATATCAAATCATTAATAAGAAATTCTAATACTTACTATTTGCCTTTGTTACGAATGAATAAGATATTATACAAAACGGTGAAAATTCTCGCGATGGTCAACATATTAGCAAGAAAATAATAATAATGAAATGCCAGAAAACGAAAGTTAATTTTATTCTGTGTCATTAAATTCAGATCACGTATAAACAATACCACGTAAATAGTGTTATAATTAAAACGTAAAGAAAATGTCGCGTAAATGGGAAGATAGATGTACTGGAATAGTATCGATGACACACGACTCCGTAGGGGAAGGACGATTTAATTGGTGAAATGGTTATTTATTCAACGAAAATGAACACGCTGAACAAATATCGCGCATGCAGTTAAAACATACAATGCTCTAAAATGCAATCACGCTGTTCATTATATAGGTACACTCTGATATAGACATTTGCTTTACTCGTACACTTTCTGGAACATTCGATCCTCACCATGCATTACTTTGAGTATATTTGAAATATTCTAAATTATTAATTTTAGAAAATATTTACTTAATTTATATACCAAATGTTTGTACAATGTTTCAGACTTAGATAATATTTACTCGCGATGTACATACACTCGGCTACACACTTAATTTCAGACGTGTTGTCATGCATATGGTCATCTACAACTCAAATTCATATTACAATATTTAATAGGAAGTATCAATGCGTCTGGAAATTGTAGGTTTACAATTAGTACCCGTTGTGGATTTTTCTATTAAATCTTATACCTTGTTCTTTACCCACTTTGAATAAGTTAGAATAGCATGTTATAAAATTATTGTTGTTATTATTATTAGAAAGGAAACAGTAATTGAAAAATGTATATTTTCCTGCAACATATAGTCGTTATCGAATCGCTAAATTGTTATTACTATTTTTGGCACATTTTTCAAATCTAAAGTATTATCGAACTTGTATCAAAGTGTATCGTAATAGATGCTGTCTGTTAATCAGAATAAAGAATATAAATTTATTTAACTGATTAATTTTGTGTAATTATAGTTGCTTTATTAATCAAATATGGAATTGGCATTTTGTTCATTTACACATTTACAGTGTTCTTGCATAAAACACTAATGGACGCTGGTAAAATATTCACAATAAATTGTTCCTTTGTTATCAGATTCATATCGAACGAACAAACGTTGTAAAATTACTTTTTGCATATATTATAATCATAATTAAGAATCCAGTCTTCATTTATCAATCACAGTCCTCCATTGTCGACACATATTCTTCTCCATTCGGCGCTGTTGACCTAATACTGTATTGAATCAAAATCGAAATCTGTTTACTACTCCACGAAAATATCCATACATGCTTGATAATCAAAATACTACAGTATTTAATATATTTTCATAGGATCTAATATATTTACCCTTCAAGAACTACGCGATTGCCTATTGTCGGAGGAATTTGTTTGGCAAGATTGCCATACACTCGCCCGCGTAGTTTTATGAGGAAAATTCATGGTGGAGGTTGTCTGCGCGAGAAAGTCGAAAGACGGGTTCTCGCTGGATGTAGCAGAGGAACGGCAGGATCAAAGGTTCTGCTTCTAATTGGACAGAAAATTGTTACTTTTCCATGTGTATTATACGGCATCATGAACAACAAGGGAATGTAGTGTTCCTTGAATTAAATTGTAGTGTCTTAATAAAGTGCGAACGATAGCGCATTGTTGTTGTAGAATTTGATGTTTGGTTCAGTATGTACCTAAAAAGATTGAAGAGATAGTTTAGGAAATATTGTTGAAAAATGATTAAACGAAAGGTTAACTTATACTTCTGTATAATTCTAAATACTTCTGGATACTTCTGAATACTTCTTTTTATTATTTGTAATAATTCATAATAACTCATGACTCATCATGCAATGTAAGAATTTATATTTTTAATTAATTCTTCCTTATTCTCCAGTATTGTAGTAACTCCATTATAAATGTTCAATTTCAGACTTCTCACTATAAACAAATATCATATTTAGTCTTTGTTCTTTAAATATATTATACATTTATATTTTGACACCACGAAATTGTCAAGAAATCTAACAAATAATTTTCGTAATTACTTATAAGGATATTCAGCAAACGAAATAAGAAATTTGGTCTATTAATGTTTTCTTAATGCATCAACAGCAGAAAATGATAACATACACACAGCAAATATTAACCCTAAATATCTAAACACTTTTTTAAATAGTCTATCTAATCTGAATTCGAGAGTACTCTTTTAACAGATATCAAGACTGCAGACGTTACTTTTGTAGATCTTTCTATTTTTCAATTAAAAACTAATAGTATATGTATCTTATATTGTACTACTTTGTTTGAAATTAATAAAAGAAGTATAAAAATATTCATGTCTTTAATTTGTAATCTATGAATCGAATGTTCAGTTACAGAGTAACACTGACATAAGTTGGGTTATTTAGGGTTAATGTCAATTAATTTTAGCCAAAACATGTAAACTATTTTACCATTCAAAACATCTCAAAGCTATCATGATAAAGAAGTGACCTTAACAAGAGCATTTGTATGAGAAAAAGTAATTGTTTGAAATATTATATCTATAACAAATATGAGATATTACACGTTTACTAAAGTTTTAAAAGATAATTCAATGAATCATTTGATAGGGATTATGAAATATTACACGGTGAATGATAATAGCATTCTTCGAAGATTTGCGTGGGATATTCATAGCCGTCGGGAAATCAGTCGAGCAATTTTTCAGCGGTGATACGCTTACACGCTTCGCGCATCAGAATGAAAAAGATTCGGCAAGACGAGCAACGTTCGTCCGATGTATTCCACCCGGACAGAATTCGATGAATTTATTCGTTCTCGAAAGGTAGCCACGGTGGAATCTCGAGGAAGACATCAATTTCCGATTTCCGTGATTCTCGCCGTCCGTTCCTCTGAATCTCCTTTCCAATAGCCAACCACTCGAGACCCTGAATGTCCGTTCAAGAAACCCTGATATGAAGACAATTTATTCTGTGTTTCTCTTCTATCGTTGAAATGAAATAAACAATCTACAGATTTGTCTCGAAGAGTTTTTTTATGGCGACTGTTCAAAAATGAATTTTGAACGAAAACTAGGAAACAATTGAATTCAAATTTAGAGAATTTATTTTACTTTAAGAAATGTACAAGAATTTACTTATTTTGTTTTTACAGATAAAAAGTACATCTATAATGGATTAATTATCCTTTCTGCCTATAACTTAATTTTAGTAAGCTTCGAACAACACGTATATCTTTACACAATTTTAATAGCTTTTTTAAATACCTTTAATATTCATTTTTTAGTAACATTAATCATATTTATCAGTATACGTTCTGAGTAGTTTGTTATAATTTTTATAATAATATTTCCGTGTCGTATCATTTGGTTAAAAATTAAAGGCTTTAAGATCTCTAAAATCTTTTAATTGTCATTCATTCGAATACATGAATTATTAAAAATAATGACTATACTGTAAAAAGCGTGTAACAAAAATCGTAGCATTGAATCGAAAATGACACAGAACGTGAACGACCATGGAAAACAAAATTGCAGGAAGGACTCGTACACAGTGAACTTAATAATTTTTGTCATTTTTATTGACGTGTTTTCGTAAAACGTTCGTTCAAATCAGAAAAAATCCTCAATACGTTCACGATTCGTTATTTTCGACAGGGAAGGGAATTCTATGGCACGCATCGTAGTGTTATCAATCTAGATCATCCGGAAACGCGGCAGAGAATTCACGAAAAAAAATGTTTAAACTCCAGGAGCTTAGTGGTATTGAAAAAAAGTTTTCCCCTTTTTCCAGCATTTGGCGCCGAAACAGCGGTATCTAAAGGCCGGTTGCGATTGTGTTCATGCTGTCATCGATTTTCAGAACCATTTCTTTGAACTTGTCATCGGGATATCATGTTTCATCCGCTTGAAATCGAAACCGTGGAAACAATGGGATAACGCGGCGCACGCTTAAACAAAAGTCTGTGAAAATTATTGGGGCATACCAGAACTTCGCGAGACTTTTCACAAGATGATTTTGTATCTTAAAAGCTTCCTGTAAATGATGCACCGTTTCATTTGCAGTTCCTTTTAACCTCTTCAGACCTGATGTATACTGAAATGTAGATTACTTTTACATGCACCAACGAAATTCAAGAGCTCGAATTTAATACTCACATGAATTATTATATTCCTTCTGGTAGTTTCAATTCCAAAACTACTGACTTCCTCGTTATAAAATGAGAAGCAAATAATAACGATATTGAACATAGTGAATTTATTAATAAGTATGGGGTCGGTAATATTTAGAAAATAATAAGTGCAGTAGTTTCTGTATGATATTTTTAAATATTCAGTAACCACCTGTGGGAGAAAAATAAAAAGGAGAAATCTCTTGAGCAACCTATCAAGCGTTGTAATATTGAATACATAGTAATGTGTTTCAACAATAGTTTCTATCGACAGTTCCTTTTTATATACTTTTTCTGTTTGAATTTCAATTTCAATCATTGTGAATAAGTAGGTGAGGACTGTTAGTGCACATACTTACTTTTAAATTGGCTTCTACATTCGATCATTTCTTTAAAACATGTAATATTAGTCGATTCCATGGTATGTATAAAATTAAGTATGTTAACAGAAATTGTCTCTATACTTACTTTTTAGCTTTGAAATGTTATAAAGACATTAGCAAAGTATTTTTAATTGAATTAAATACAATAACTTCGATGTATAGAAAGAGAATGTCAAACATTTTTTCTGGAACAGCAATTCCGAAAAGAATTATCGAATTGTGTTTTGCTTGATGATTTGTTAATTCACAATTTTAATTACTATAACCATTGAAAAACGAGTTATGATATTCTTAGATATTAATTGTGCATTTTGAAGAGGTTGTCGAATATCCTTCAAGTATTAAATTAAGAAAGTATTCAATTTAATTTAAGCCTGACGGATTTAATTCATAAAATGAGAAATTTACGTGTATGTTGACTTTGATTCCAGGTGTGCATTTTGATACGAGTACTGAGAGTCTAGTGAATGAGATCACGACTGCGGTCAAAGTGTACGCGTACGGAGTCGAAGATTTTGTGAACGACCGCAACAACCAGGACAAAAGTCTCAATCCTCAGATTGGGTGCGAGGGAAGTTACGGACAATCTCGATGGCACACTGGAGACCTATTTTTCAAGTAATTATTATTTATGTCGTATTGCTAAAAAGTATAAATACTGATTACGTTATCCGAAGTATATTTTTTGTTCTAATAATCAATAAGTGATATTCATAGATCTTCGAATGTTAAATACGAATTTGAAAACTATTTTTTTCATCACTCACAGCTTTGGGAAAATTAAATTTTAAAAAGAAAATCAAATTTGATTCATACATGTCTCATAGAAAATAATCCCATAGACTCACACAAATAAATAATATATATATTTTTTTTAATAATATTCGAACTATTTAAACATATTTAAACAATTATTTAATCAAGAGGAATACCTATAGTGAACAAAAGTTTTAAAATAATTTTCAATTTGTCTTCCAAATTAACAGTTGTATGGAATGAACATAAATAGAAAATATAACGGAACAAATTTAATAAAATTATATGCTTGAAACAGCTGTGTTGCTATAAGAGGAACGTCAATCTTCTTAAAAGAAAATAAACTTCTTATTGTAGCTTTCCTTGATGGTTTTCTTATGAAAAGGATTTGTTCTGGTGTTTAATTGAATTTTATTTTATATCTGAAGAAATATCTTAAGAAATTGATGCGCTAATAGTCCCTCGCTCCTGTTAAAGATTGTTTAAACATTAAATATTTATAACATTCGAGAAAGTATACATTTTTTTATTTGAAGTAATTTTCAAAAACATTTATCACACGAAACGTTTATGTATCTGTAATCATCAATGTAAACAATTTTAAAGTTTGAAACTTTCTTTCACTTGCTTGTTGAATAATTAATTTGTACAAAAACTAACAGTATTATAAACCGGTTTTCAATATCGATTATTTGAAATACGACGTCTGGATTGATCAATATTATACGGTATAAAGGAAATTATATAAAAATTCTTTGATTTAGGTTACGTTGCACTAAACTTTTTTTCTGCACTTTCGATAGTAGTTTAACAAATATACTGTGTTAGATACTATATAATAATAAGTAAAAAGTTAACTAATTTCTATTTATAAAGAACGGCGCCATTTCCTGTCTAAATATACCTTTGTACTTTAAGTTTTTATTGTTTTCTAAACAAATATTACCTTTATTTTGTACACTGCCTTTAACAAAATTAACAATGATCAATTTTAAAAAAACGAAACTAATAGTATATATAAAAAACATCTAATGTTCCTACAAAAGAATTTGTTAATAAAGTGTATAGACGTACTAAGTTTGAATCGAACTAAAAATTAACCTGTAAACAATTTGTTTGTAGTAATAATGCTTCTTCATTTCGATCAGGTACTTGAAAAACGTGTCAGTCGAGCACGATCATGCAAAGCCTAACGTCGAGTTCACTCAAGACGGAGTTTTGAAAGCGGCGAAACTGAAAATTATGAATCTCCGTCCCGGCGTGAGCAAACAACTCGTTTGGGAAGAGGTGAGTAACGATGTTGCATGAGTTTCTAACTTTTTGTCCATAAAAAGAAGTTTTTTAATTTCCATGAAGAATTGACAATGACGACCTCAAAAGAAATCTGAAGTAAACCAGAAAGTTTCTTAATATCAATGGAATGTTGGAGTCAATTATTCGGATTGGATCATTTATTTACTTTCTATAATACATTCTTAACCCCTTAATCACAGAATTTTTTAATGCGAGTCAACACTGCAATGGGGAGTTCTTCTCCAAGATTTTTTGCAACTTAACGCACATTCATTTAACTCTTCTTTGCCTCTGAATTTATTGTTTTTGTTACATTTAAAATTATTCGTGTTTTAATTAATTTTTCAAGAATAATAAGGATTACAAAAATTTTGTTTCCTTAATTGGTCAACTACTGGTGCTTTTACCTTAATTAGTCTTCGAAGAAAATAGGATGTTGAAGTAAGAAATAATAAATAAATATTTACGTAGAAATTTTAATTTTAGACGCACTTTGCAGGTGTCAAATATAAGTATTAGAAAACAGTATGACATTTTGAAATGGAACCATAAAGACCTAATCTGAGTTGATTAGTTCCCATATTTCTTTTTAATGTTTTCATAAAGTTTATATGAAATCCTTTTTTATTCGTATTCACAGAACAAACTGGTAAAGTTTGATCGTTCAAAACTAAAACACCTTGTATTAATCTCAAAAAGTGCAAGGTGTGGTAGACTGTATCCTTGAAGCAGGATAATTATAAAAAACCATGAAGTAAAGAATAGCTTCGAAATAACGATCGTAGTACAGTTACGAAAAAAAGAAAATGAAACGAACAGTAGAATTTCATTGGGCCCATTTATTTTAAAACTTGTTTAAGTCTATTTCTAGAAAACTTCTATGAATATTCTATGTTCACGTTTACTCTGAAGTATAACAAGTAGTAACAGGAGCATAATATTTAATTAGAGTTCACGAGAATTGAGTAATATTTATGCTTGTTGAATTCTGTTTAAAATGTCACCACGAGTCTGGCTCGTTATTATAAGACAAAGGATTAACTGGTGACCAGCTAGCTGTTAACCAGTTAATTGCGTCCGCCGAGTATAAACGTCATCTTAAAATTAAAATGATACTGCTTCTTTTAATGATAAATTATTTGTTTTTTCAGATAAACGTGTAATTTTTCTTCATTTTGCTTTAGCTTTTCGTTAGAATATATTATAGGTGTATTTGGCCTGTGTTTAATGAGTATACATTTCATTATTTCATTTCATTGCGAGCATTATCAGAAATTTTTGAAATTAAATTCTACAGTTAACCCCTTGATCTACGATTTCCTTTACAACTGTGCTGAATGAAACTAATTCATCATTAATACTGTATTAGAGAAACACAAAAATTCGACTGTTATCTTATGTCTACATTCAGTCGAAAGATTAACGATCGATAACATTTAATTCATGTTCAAGATAAATAAGTAACATTTAGATTTTTCGAAATTAACTTAAAATTTTCATCACGAGTGTAACACGATATTAAAAAGCAAGGAGTTAACAGGTTATCACGTTGACTGCTACGAAAAACATAAGCATTTTACGTATCACTTACTCCACAATTACTTACTACCACAATTCCTACGTTACACTGTTATCTAGTTATTTACATTATTGAACATTTTTAATTGACGTCGTTTGTCTTATGAATTATAATTATTTCCAAGTCATTTCAAAACTCCGGTCCCATGTGGCTACGGTGACAGCGAAAGTGTTAAGAATTAATCACGTACTTATGAAGATGTCGTTCGAGTAAATGCAATTCTATTGTGTAATGACGAAGAAAAGGGGTTACAGGGTGGGAGATAGAGCGGAAAGCGCAACGATATCGTAGCTCGCGGGAGAAAGGAACAATGAGAACGCGGCGGAGGTGCGCGAGAAAGGGTTCCTGCGGTCGTCGGGCTCCGTTTGCACCGGGCAAAACCGTGTCTACCCTAGTAAAAAATGAAAAGAAAAAAAACAGGCAAGAAAAACGGACATCTCTAATCTCGACTGACCCAAATTCGTGGTCGTCGATACGGTATGAAAGGAGAAAAAAAGGAACTCGCGCGCGCACACATACGTTTCCACGGAAGTCGGAGAGAAGTCATTACGGGAAACGTTACGGTGTACGTTGAAAAGAATATTACCTCCTCCCACGTTTCGTCGGCGAATTATATTCAGTTAAAGGAGAGAAACACGACCTCGTTAAAGTCGGTATCAGAACCTCGGTAACTTGCCGGCGACCTATTTGCTTCGGCAGATTAAACGCAACCGACCTTCAGCTCGGAAAATATGCAAGAAATTAAAATCTTTGGACACGCGTAAACAGTTGTTTAGAATTCCGTCTTGGACATGCTATGCTTTCAGCGATACTTCATAATATTTATAATGATGTTGATACGAGAGCAGTCGAGAGGAGACTGTAAGGTAAAGTTTAAGTGTCTGGTGAAACTGAAGTAAAAGTGAATAATGCCAGATATGAATAGTTATACTAAATGATCTTGTAACTTTGTGGATTATTTTATACTATAGCTGGTTTTGTGTGTCCTGTTAAGGTTTAGTTATTTTAAATTTCTAATTAGTATTGGAAATCTGTTAGGAAAGTATATATGCGTGAGTTTAATTTAACCATTTGCACTCGAAACTTTTTGTGTTGCATATATTAATCATTTTCGAATGAAGTGGTAATGAAACTTATTATGGTATTAAACGAAAATAAATATGAATGGAGGGATAGACCTATTTTAAATTAATATTTTATGTGTAATTGCATTACATAAAATCTGATATTGAATATGTTATTTTGTAATTTTTCTATGTGAAAGAAAATAAGTACTCATGGTAGGTTTTATTCATTACTAAACATTTTTAAATGTATTGAAATAATGACAAATAATATGAAAACTAAAATAAAAATTTTGTTTCATTTTTCTTACTTTCCGACAAATTTTGCAGAAATCTTTTTTGCATTCCGAAATAAACAATTCCATAATACGAAGTTGACTTAAACATTTTTCATAATATCTGGTTACGATAACGAACGATTGAACGAGTGAAAATTGACTTGACAATCTTATTAAATTTTCTTTGTTTGCATGTATTTGCTCGTTGCCAATTAATAAACCAACGATGACAGTAATATACATAAACTCCACAATTTGTGAAACTTATATTATACGCCAAAAATTGATGATACATCATCGTGAGGGAATTCAGTTACATAACCGAATATTTAAATTAATATGATGAAAGATAATGAATGTCGAATACAGTTTGATAGAAAACGTTATAGGATTTTATTTCCGACTAAATTGGAAACTTGAATCACAAGTGAACCGCATGCCGGTGATATACTGAGTACTGTGTAATAAATTTTGATCGATTTTTCCGTTACCGTTGGATTCGATAATTGAGCAGATATGAGAACCGTGTATATCTATAAAATGTCAGCCTTTAAAGTAAATTTTATTAGTTACACTGAAATTACTAAAATCGTTAAAACACAAATACGTTTTTACTACCTAGTATTCATAGAAATTGCTTGTTCTATTTTGAAGTAATATCTAGAAGAGTGTATTAATTGCGAAGTTTTTAAAAAGTTGTTCCTTTATCAGAAAATAATGAAATTTGATAATTGCAAATATGCATAAAATTTTTTAAATAGTTTAATTGTTGAATTAAATATGGGTATATGAAGAAAACATAATGGATTGTTTATTATTTTGTCCTGTATTTTGTATTTGTTTTCAAGAAAATTAAAAACGTAGAATTATTTAACTTATTATTAATATACGCCACTTTACAGAGCACTACGCTAGGAAGGATTAAAAATTGAATTCAAGCAACATTATAATTTAATTAAGAATAAATGACTCGTTAAAGTATATGTGTATTCATTTGTTTAATATCTCTGATAATTGAAACAATTGAAATCAAAATATATAATAATATTACTTCTATTGTTCCGGCACGGTTTATTTGGTTAAGATATGTATCATAAAAAAAACGGCAGCTCAACGACCTAAACCCCGAGCGCACAGCTACCGGTACCTTTGTAGATCAAAAGGGACACCGTACCCCCTACCTCCACTACTAGTAATGTGGGCGTAGGTTAAAAAACTATAACTAGCAACACCCCGAGCGTTTTAGCCTTCTGATTTGTCATTAGGGACACCGCCCTATCTCAGTATTTTTATATATATAGAGAGACATTGAGAGACATGAGAGACAGACAGACATACATCACAAGTTCATAACAATCACGCTGTACTCACTGGACAACACACACACTTTAACTTTGTAAACATATGTACATTCCTTTCACTCAATATTAAACAAATACAGTCCACTTTCGAACGAGAACAGGAGAAGCCTTTTTTCATCACATCTATTTTACACAAGGTTAATTCGGCGTGTGAAAGTGTTACGCCACGTCTACTAATACTGCCTGGACAGCGTGCACGAACATCTATTAATGTAATTTTCTTATTACTGTAATTTAGGCAATTAACAACCTTTAGTTACTGTAAATAACTGATGGAAAAATTTGAAATGTTTACTCGAGTTAGGTATATTAGTTTCTTCTCTTGCAACGAGTAATCGTAAAATTGTTTATTAATATTATTTTGTTAACCTCTTCCTCCTTTTAAGTGTTAATGAGTTTACATAGCTATTGAACTTTTCTCGATAATACTATGTTTCACTGTTCATGTACCGAGGATTTTTACCACTATTTTGAAACTTAAATATAAGTTCCAAAGACAATATTTAGTTACGTAACTTTCACGAAGGTTTCACGAAAGATGTTCATTGGCAGTTTATCTTCCATCTTTTCTTCTGTATCGCGAATCATCGCTCGAGATTCTAGTCCTTTCGTCTACTGTGATTTCTTACAATTATTTTCAATTTCTGTTCACTGAAAGTAATACACAACTTCGGTTCAAACAGATAACAAGTTTCGAGAACTTTTAAATATT